CGCTCAACGTAATTGAGAATGCAGTTTAGTTCTGTGGGAACGTAATTTTTAGGAGACAGGGTTGCCATAATACATTCTGACGAAAAATACAAATTATTATGAATACAAATAAAATAAAAGAAGCCTCCCGCGAGTTACTACAAGCTATAAAGTAGATTTTAAAAACGTTTTATAGAATAAAAGCTCACTGCTGGACGTTGTAGAAATGCGTGTGTGCACCACGACAAAGGAGCCTCATTCACTTTACATTGGGGTTGTTTGCGTGGTGCAGACACGTAAATGTAGCAAAGTTCGTGACTCTACCACGCAATGCGGTGTTAAGGAGTCGTGGTGGAGTCACGCATTCTGGTGAGATCAGGTTGAACTTTACACAAAGTCTCTGTGATTTTCTTCAGATGCTCACCTGATGGAAACAAAGAAGAAGGACGTTGAAATGTCCCTGTGGAGAGCGAGGCTGTGCAGGATGTGTGCGAAGTGGATATATTCACATTCAACTCTTAAAGGTTTTATTGTCAGTTGTCAGTAGCAGCAGCTTGTAGGTTTAGAGAATGAGCGGCTGGCAGCTTGAACTGAATCATGTCGAGGTGTCAAACATGATTTATCGTTAAGACCAGCCGACGGTCAGGTGCTCTAGATCAGTGGTTCTCAAACTTTTTTCAATAATGTTCCCCCTTTGAAAAAAGAATTCAGCCAAGTACCCCCTGATCAGCGCAAAAACAATTTGTTAGGGGAAAAAGCCTATATAAATAGGTACAGTACAGCGCTGCACCATCAGTGTCTGATTTATTAAAACAACAACAGTAACTGAGAAACACTTAAATGCTACATTTCAAATGTTAACAATCCATCACTAAATTCATGGCAAACCAATTTTAACATCATGCAATAACACTGAGACGACATTAGTTACATTGAACTGATCTTTTTAATAAGTTGTACTTACAATGTAGTGAAACATGGGCTCGTGCTTCACTGAGGATCTTTGTCATTCTGACAGGGAGGCAAACTGCAGTTATTACACTTCGCGTTTTGAAATATGTGAAACTCTGTTAATATAAAACCCACACTGCTCAAACTTCCTTACTTTTCCTAAAATTGGTATATTTATCTATTTTTTTTTTCATTAACATAAAATAAATCTCACGTACCCCCTGCAGTACTCCAACGTACCCCTAGGGGTCCGCGTACCCCCATTTGAGAACCACTGCTCTATATTACTGCTTCAACTATGTGTACATGCTTATTTGTTATATGCAAAGTCTACTGAAATCGTTTTTTTTAATTCCACATAATAAATAACTTTTAAAAATCCTCATCAGTGTTTTGGTTAATAACTGTCCTGATGACGGAGACAATTAAGTCTATTTAAAACAGAGAGAGCCTAAAAACATCACATTTCACTCCATGTACAGTTTAGATTTTCACAAAATGAACCATAAGATCAGTAGTAGAAGACTTAAAATAATAACATAATATTACAATAGTAGATAAATGGCACACATACGAAAAGAGAAAAAGGATAAAAGGCCCACATAATAATGAATACACGGTACATAAAGGCTATGGAAAATAAAAGCATACAAACAGCTCAGACTGACTCGAAAGCGAGGGAAAAGAGGTGGGTCTTTAGGCGGGACTTAAAAGTTTGGACAGACTCAGTACTGTGAAGCGCTTTAAAACCGGACAGAAAAATATCAAAAATATTGTGTGCATGTATAAAAGACTGCAGCTGTAAGAGTCCGGTTTTCTCCAATATTTTTGAGACAAAAGGAAGCTTAGAGATGGGTCTGTAATTTGAGAAGGCAGAAGTGTCCAGATTTGTTTTTTTTTATCTGGGGTGCCACAACCGCTTGTTTGAAATAAACTGGCACAGAACCGGACTCTAGGCTGCTATTTATAATTGTATGGACATTAGATCCAATAGTGTCCCATATCTCTATAAAAAGTTGAGGAGGGACTGGGTCTGTGGGACAAGATGAGGGTTTTAATTTAGCAACAATGTCACAGAGAGATGACAACGAGGTCCAAACTGCTGGAAGACAGCAGTGCATGTGATGTCAATGGAGGGGTCAAAAGAGGGTGGTGAGATACAGGCTCTAATAGTGGAGATCTTGTCTATAAAATAGCAGAGACATTTTTCACACACCTCAGTTGAAGCTTCAATACAAGTGGATAAAGGAGAGTTTAACATAGCATCAATGGTTTCAAAAAGAACACAAGGTTTCTTTAAGTTACTAGAAATAATATCAGAAAAATAACTAATCTTTTCAGCTTTTACAGTGCTCTGATACTTTCTCAAACTCTCTTTTAAAATGTCATGAGTTACATGAAGCTTGTCCTTTTTCCACCTGCGTTCAGCCTGCCGGCGCTCACGCCTGGCAGCACGAGTGACGTCATTGAGCCATGGTTCAGATTTAGCTCTGGGGCGCATGAGTTTCAGGGGAGCAACAATGTCAAGAGCTCCAGTGCAGGTAGAGAGAAAGGCTGAGGTTAATTGCTCAGTGTCCAGGGAGTCAGAGGACATAGTATCAGACTGGGCTACAGGGACGTGCACAGACCTTTTGGGGGGCGGGTGCTCAAGTGAGAAAAAGGGCACTTCCCATAATCATTTATAAAAAAGTGTTTTAAAACTAAAAGTTAAATATAGTTGCACATCTCTGACTTACTGACCAATGTTTTTTAATACCCTCACACTCACGCAATTGTTTAATATTCAACACAATTCTACAAAATAATCAGCTAACACAGAGACAATGGTCTTCTTTAGTATTCACTACGCACAAGAGCAGACAACAAACTAGTACAATTAATAGTTATTAAATGAGCAGCCAACAATCAAAATTATGAAGTTACTGTTTAAGGACATTACAGGCAAACAGATCGTTTTTTCATGTACTTGTTATTTTGGACTATTTTGCTTCCATGTTTTATTTCACTCTAGTGCTTCTCAAAGTGTGGTCCGCGGACCACTGGTGGTCCGTGAGCACCCCCTAGTGGTCCGTGAGTATATTGGTAAATTTTCACATTTGAAATAAATACATTTATTTAAGTTTTTCGCACTCTCGCGGGAATATCTCCGCAATGGAACGAGCTTAAGTTTCACTTTCGATTGCATGATATAGCCCAGATAAACACCTTCATCACACATGTGGCCACTTGTTTGTACCATTTTCAGGCGATTTGTAAAAAATGATGTGTTTTTGGATATTTGTGGAGTTAGGTGGTCCGCGAGTGTTTTTTTATTGGTTAAGTCCTTGGTATGAACAAGTTTGAGAAACACTGAAAAAACTTCCAAAAAACACATATAATGGTATTCGTTTTACTACCATGTGTGAATTCATCTATAGATTTAAAGCTAATCTGCATTTAAACATAACATTTTAGGCCTAGTTAACGCCTAATTTGCATAGGCCTATCAATGTGGCGATTGTAACGGCGTTATTAGATACACATTTTACTGTATTCACCTTAAGTGTCTCCCCTTAAGTACAGTACATTAGCCTGTATGCCCATGATAAATGGCCTTAGCTAAACCTTGAGCTAATTTATCCATTAGCTAGTAGCCTACCTTAGTTAACTATATTTGTTATTGTCTTTTAGTTAATTAGCTGTAAACTCGAGGCACTGGCAGTTTAGTCATTTGTTCATCACCACTCACCTTCAAAATAAGCCAAGAAAAGCCGGCATAACATGGGACAGTAAAGTGGGAGGTGCTGCTACCTGTCTGTCTGAAGTGACTGCCGATGACTGTCTGCACCGAGACGTGGAGGGAGGGACGGAGGGTAGAGAGAGCAATGGAACTTCACAGTCTAATCTCCCGACCTGATATTTTAATTTTGTATTCAATCAATATATTTTTGGAAAGGGAAACTGTGCGCAAACAGCAGTAGATATATATTCATTCATAAAAATAAAAAAAAAGGGGGAAAAAAGGAACTTTCTCTGGAGGAAAAAAAAGGGCAGGGGCTCAAGCCCACATGCCTGCTGTGCTAGGTTTACAAATGTCATCTACTAAACATGGTGAGTACCCCTTTAAGCAGACCACTGGAGTCATATGTGTCTCATTGGTAGCCAAAAATAAGGTGAGAATATAGTATAGAATAAACAGAGCCAAATACATAGCACTTCTATAAGGAGAGTTCACTACTAAACCCACCACTCCTATATCCTGCCTGGATTACAGTAGATCCTCCAGACCAGCCTTACCCCTTCCTCTTACATTTCATCAGTGCTCAATGAATAACAATACCTGTAATAAAAGTTGAAGTGACATATTGTGGTCCATGCTGGAGAAAAGTCCATTTTGAAAAGCTCATGCAACGCCCTGATTATGAGTCGTTATTCAAGTAAAACCCGTTTTAAAGAGTTGCTTTCCAATGTGTCAAAGATGTTAGTCGTCGGTGTGAAGTGTAGGTCTACTATACAGTAAATTACCTCTAATGTTAAAAAACTAAAATGGCAATAGGTTTCACTCATTTCATCTTTAAAATCTAAATATGCATTTCCTTTTGCCAAAACAATCACTGATGGATGTTAGAATGTGTCTCAGGGTCCTGATTCAGTTTCTGATTTTTCACTGTCCTCTAGTGGGGGATCTTAAGTGAGACACATTCAGGCTTCATCACTCAGAGAGCTCCCTCCACTGTCTGCTTTAAAGGGTCAGTTCACCCAAACTAAAATACTTATTTCCCCCTTTGTGACAGTCTGTCTGTTTTCCTGTTTTATTTTCAGAAGTGTTCCCCCCCTGTCTTATGTCTGTGTCTGCTTCCTGTCTCTGTGTTTTCCCTCCTTTTTGATTTTTGATTCTGTTAAACGGGTATCATTGTGTTTTTTCTGCCCTGCCTAGCTCTGTCCTGTCCTTTGATTCATTATGCATGTATTTAAGTTCTGGGGATGTTAACTGGCATTTGGCTCATCATGCATATTCATAATCTAAAGAGGAAGTAAATCTATTTTCAACAGCCTGATATCCGTTTTCTGCTCATTGGCGACAGAGGAAAGGCATCTTTGAACACATCGTTCCTCCTTCACTGTGAGTAGAAAGAGTTTATTGATGTAATGATTCTGTAAACCTCCTGTGAACATTATTTAATCTGACATGTTTTATAGTCTCACAGAGATGAGAGGAGCAGCTATGAGTCTAACTGCAGCAGCGAGTGGATTAGTTGTCTTCCTGCTCTCTGTGTCAGGTACTGTACTTCTACACTTACATTCATCACATGAACAGAGGGGATTCTGGGAAATGTGGGACTTGTTAAACCAGGTCTCATGTGGGAATAAGTGGGATGGATTTGTGTAAAAGTCAAACCTAGCAGAAACATTTAAAATGTAATTGTGTGTAGAATTGTAGAAACTCAAAGACGTCACTAGTTTTTTTGATGGATATTCTGAAGATCTTGTCGTGCGTTGCCGCTGTCCTTTGCTCCAATCATCTGCATCAAATATCAGTTTGCTTATCACTTTAACAAGCGTTAAAATGAGAATATAGTGTACTGTTCCATCCTCTCTCTGAAAACATTTTGCTTTGTTTTTTTCTTAAGACGACTTCAAGAATCTCCAGCTCTGTTTTTATTAAGTTGAAGTGATTTAGAGAGATATTCTTATTCTAAGTCAAAACATATTGACTCAACTCTTATCGATCATACCTCTGCACCAAACCCTTCTAGTTCCTTCTCTCCTCTCTGACCTCAGTGTTATATTTCCACGCTCTGAGTTTAAAGCAGTCTTCTTCTTTTTCTAATCTGTATATCAGACAGAAGCTGCTCACGCCTCAGTGCTCTGCATTCATTGTTATTGTTCACACTGACCTCAGCAGCAACCTGACCACAGAGCAAACAGAGAGGGAACTGGACAAGAAAAGCACAGACTTGTATAATTAAAAGTATTCCTAATCTTGTAATGTTCATGCAGGCATGTTGACACCTTGTGTTTTGACTTCTGTTCTACCCGGTTTAATTCAGAAAGAACAAAGTCATACATTAGTATTGGCAGCAGTTATAAACTGCCTTAAAAGGAATTAACAGCTGACGTACATGTGCTCCTCTTCTCTTGCATCTCTTCAGAAACTCAACTATGATAAATACATGATATGATTCTTATTTTCAGTTCAGCTCTAGTTAGTTAGATTCATGTTCAGGAACATTTTTATAATGTCTGCTGATAATTTGATCTTGAAGCTTGTTCTGGTTACATTAACTCCATTAACACATGTGTAGTTTGATTGACTTCTTATTAACTAATTGTTAATTTAAGTCATTAACTTTCTAGTTTCTGATGTGCTCTGTGTTTCAGTGGTTCAGGGTCAGTATGGCTGGGGAGTGACTTACTCTTCTACTGAGATCTGTGCAGTGAACGGATCAACAGTGGAGATAAGATGCAGCTACACATACCCATCTACATTGAAAGGAAGTGTAAACACAGCACAGAAAACATTCTGGTTCACTAAATGGAAAGATGCTGAACCTGTAGATGTGAAAACAGACTCAGAGTACGCAGGTCGTGTAGAGGATCTCTGTGAAAACAACACCTGCACTCTGAGAATCAGAAACCTGACAGAGAGCGACTCAGCTGAGTACTGGTTCAGGTTCACAACAAACCAAGCAGATGGAAAATATGATGGTTCGACTGGCGTCACTTTGTCCGTCACAAGTAACAATTCTCAATGATATGTTAATTATTTATTAATGTCTTGGATATAATAATAATATGCATGTGTTTTTATAGTTTTTGTCTTAAATACAATTCCTGTTCCTTTATAAATCCAGATCTCCAGGTCATATCAGATATATACTGGCTGTCTTGTCAGAACAGTTGTTATCAATCTTATATTCCTTCCTACATCTGGTACAAGAACGGACAACTAATCCAGGGAGAAACATCTTATTATATAAGCAACCCGAACAAGGCAGACAGTTATTCCTGTGCTTTGAAGGGACATGAGGACTTTCCCTCTCCTCCAGTGTGTGAGTTTACTCCAAAGACTTATATTACCACATAAACATCTAGTGGCGTTTTATATTGAACTATATTGGTCATTTTTTACTCCTGTTCAAATTATTGCTGAAAAAAATATGTTTTTATTTTTCAGGTGTCAGAGGTCAAACCTGCAACAGAGTGACTTACACAGAGAGAAGCATCTGCGCCCCCAAAGGATCATCAGTGGACATTTCCTGCACGTACAGCAGCTTTGAAGACAATGTTAATTCTAAGTTCTGGTTCAGTCCTGAGCGTAGTCATCAGGGACAGAATCCCTCTCAACCTGAGGACCTTAGTGAAGACTCCCAGTATGCAGGTCGTGTTCAGATCCTTGAGACAGAGAGAGGACGCTCCACTCTGAGGATCTCTGACCTGAGAGACTCAGATTCAGCTCAGTATCTCTTCAAATTCAAAACACCAAGCTTTGAATGGAGGAGTGATTTACCTGGTACCACTCTGACTGTCACAGGTACTGATCAACACTCACTGATGTAAATACACAGTACACAGTATTGCTTACTGACCTACTTTCAGACCTTTTGCTATACTATTGTTTCTTGTTCTAACGTCCAGCTCTCCAGGTGCAGGTGATCAGAGCAAAGGTCTACAACTATTCTACTGAGGCAGAGCTGAAGTGTCACAGCAGCTGCAGTCCAGCTGGTTCTCTGAACTACGTCTGGTTCAAGAACGGAGAGAAAATCAAAGCAACGGTGATATCTTCTTATAAAGGCTTGTTTCAGCCCAGAGACAACATCTCTTGTGCTTTTGAAGGACATGAAGACTTCCAATCTCCTGCATTGTGTAAGTTTACTAATATTACATTACATTACATTGCATTTAGCTGACGCTTTTATCCAAAGCGACTTACAATAAGTGCGTTCGACCAGGAAGACACAACCTTGAAGAAAACAGAATCATATAAGTACATTGGGCTTCATAGAGCAAAAACATTTCAAGTGCTACTCAACTGGCTTTAGATAAGCCAGCCCTTTATTAGTATATAAGTGCTTTGTTAATAGTTCTATCGCTCGAAGTGGAGTCGAAAGAGATGAGTTTTCAGTCTGTGCCGGAAGGTGTGTAAGCTATCTGCTGTCCTGATGTCAATGGGGAGCTCATTCCACCATTTTGGAGCCAGGATAGCAAACCCACGTGTTTTTGCTGATGGGAACTTGGGTCCCCTTCGCAGCGAGGGCGCAGCGAGCCGTTTGGCTGATGCAGAGCGGAGTGCACGTGCTGGGGTGTACGGTTTAACCATGTCCTGGATGTAGGAAGGGCCAGATCCATTCGCAGCATGGTAAGCAAGTACCATTGTCTTGAAGTGGATTCTAGCAGTTACCGGAAGCCAGTGAAGGGAGCGGAGGAGCGGAGTGGTGTGGGAGAATTTAGGAAGGTTGAAGACCAGGCGAGCCGCTGCATTCTGGATGAGCTGCAGAGGTCGGATGGCACATGCAGGTAGACCAGCCAGGAGGGAGTTGCAGTAGTCTAGGCGTGAGATGACGAGAGCCTGGACCAGAAGCTGCGTCGCTTTCTGGGTCAGCTGGGGACGTATCTTCCTGATGTTGTAAAGCGTGTATCTGCAGCAACGGGTTGTAGCAGCGATGTTTGCAGTGAAGGACAGGTTGTTATCTAGGGTCACACCCAGATTCCTTGCAGTCTGAGTCGGGGAAACAACAGAGGTGCCGATGTTGATTGTTAGGTCAAGAGTGGGACAATCTTTTCCCGGGAGGAAGAGCAGCTCAGTCTTGTCAAGGTTGAGCTTGAGGTGGTGAGCAGACATCCACTGAGAGATGTCAGCTAGACAAGCAGAGATGCGTGCGACGACCTGGGTCTCTGAGCGGGGGAAGGACAGAATTAATTGGGTGTCGTCAGCGTAGCAGTGGTAAGAAAAACCATGCGGGCTAATGACTGATCCGAGCGAGTTTGTGGACAAGGAGAAGAGGAGGGGACCAAGAACAGAGCCCTGAGGGACCCCTGTAGTTAATTGACAAGGGTCGGACTCGGACCCTCTCCAAGTCACCCTGTAGGTACGGTCTTTCAGGTATGAGGTGAGGAGGGAAAGTGCAGAGCCTGAAACTCCAAGTTTTTGGAGAGTGCGAAGGAGGATCTGATGATTCACCGTGTCGAATGCAGCAGACAGGTCCAACAGGATAATGACAGAGGAGAGGGATGCAGTTTTGGCAGTGTGCAGTTCCTCAGTGACAGCAAGGAGGGCAGTTTCTGTGGAGTGACCTGCCTTGAAACCAGACTGGTGCGGATCCAGAAGGTTGTTCTGATGGAGATAACAGGAGAGTTGTTTAAAGACAGCGCGTTCAAGTGATTTAGACAGGAACGGGAGGAGAGAGACAGGCCTGTAGTTTATAACATCAGACGGGTTGAGAGTGGGTTTCTTTAGGAGAGGGTTTACTCTTGCCTCCTTGAGACTGTTTGGAAAGTGACCAGAAGTTAGAGAAGTGTTGATGAAATGGGTGAGAAACGGTAGAATATCAGGAGCGATAGTCTGAAGGAGGTTTGAAGGGATAGGGTCCAGAGGACAGGTGGTAGGGCGGGCAGAGGTAATGAGGGTAAGAACCTCACTTGGAGAGAGAGGGGAAAAGGAGGTCAGTGTGTGGGTGAAAGGAGGGTCTGGTGACCCAGCGGTGAGTAGAGGTGAGTCAGAAAAAGAAGAGCGAATATCATCAACCTTTTTTTCAAAGTGTGTAATAAATACACACTGACATTACAATACAATGACAAATTCAGACATACTGGAGTCACCGAGGTCTTCTAAAGTTCATTACATCAATTTAATTTTCATACAAGCGACTAACAATAAGTGCAGACAACAATAAAGATACAAACAACAAGTGTCCTACAAGAACATTAGCTTGCAATAAGTCAAACATGTTAAGTGTGACAAGTGTTTACAAATGATGTCCAAGTCACTGTTCACAGTGTCTTTTAAACTGCCCAGTGCTCTCAACAAATATAAATATGACTATTCAAAAAGTACTCTGTGTTTTATGATGGAGAAAATGTTTGCTGTCCACGGCTGACGTTAAATCGACCGGACTTCTTTCTGCGGATTGATATGACTGCACATAGTCCCTTGATCCTCCTTAACAACAATCATGTTATCCTTAGCAGCGTTCTGTTAGCGAGTATTAACAGCCTCTGAAATATCCAAATTCACCAATCAGAATCGAGTTTTCAACTAAGCCTTGTAATAAAAGGAGAAGAATGTGTGGGGTCATTGATGTAAAAAAGATAAATAAAGACTCTTGTTATTGGCTGCCAGTTTACAGGAATCTAACACAAGGATCTCACAATATATCAATAATACAGAAAAAAAGTCAATTCAATCATGTGTGATAACATGTTTTAATATTTGAAATACTTTCCATTTCCATACCCTTCCTCCAGATGCTCCAAAGCTTCCCTCTGTGTCAGTGAGTCCCTCTGCTGAGATAGAGGAGGGCAGTTCAGTGACTCTGACCTGTAGCAGTGATGCTAACCCAGCAGCTAACTACACCTGGTACAAGGAGGATGAAGACTCTCCAAAAGCTTCAGGACAGATCTTCAACATCACTGACTTCAGAGCTGAACACAGTGGGAGTTATTCCTGTGGAGCCCAGAACAAGTTAGGACGTAGTAACTCCACCTTTCATCTGATTAGTGTAGCAGGTAAGTTCTCCACATTCACCAGACCTGATTCACTTTGTAATATGAAGCAACCCAAGCATATTCAACATGTCAGTGTTCAGGGAGGATCCTCCATGGTGTCAGAGGTGGATCACACTGACTATGTGATGTATCAATCAAGCAGTTAGAAGTATCACATATGTGTTCATGTTTCTAGGGAGTTCAACAATGATAGTGAATATCATCGGGACGACTCTGGGGGTCTTGATTCTGATCTCTGTGTTTCTCCTGAGTCTGTGGATGAGGTACAGCAATATAAATTCATCAGTTTAAACATCCTTCTTTCGTGTTTTAGTTTACTGTTATGAAATAAAATCTGTATTTGTTGTTGTCCTTAATCCAGGAAGAAGAAAGCTCTGCGCTCCACCACTGAAGCACCTGAACCTGAAGAGATAGAGGTGAGAGAGAGCAGACCTATTGACAAAATGTCCCCTTCCTCAAAGCTATACTGTGGCTCATAAATGCAATGTGAAGAGAACTTGTGTTTAAAGACAACTTCCTGAGTTGAAACCAGTAATGAATTTAGCCACAAAATAATTAGCATCAACTTTAAAATATGAAAAATGTTTTATAAAATCTTTAAGTATATACGGGTTTCATGAACGAGGGTCTAATTGTGTCTTCTCTCTCTTCATCAGTTGGACTCTGATCCTGAGTATCAGAACGACTCACACACTGCAGCACAGACAGAAGACACAGAGGAGCAGGAAGACATGGTGTGAAGTCCAGTCAGGTTAGAGCCTCCTGCATCAGATCAAACAGGCCCACTCCACATGTAGAGTCACAGTTCCAGCTGTAACTTCACACAAAGTCTCTGTGATTGTCTTCAGACGCTCACCTGATGGAAACAAAGAAGAAGGACGTTGAAATGTCCCTCTGGAGAGCGAGGCTGTGCAGGATGTGTGCAAAGTGGATATATTCACGTTCAACTCTTAAAGTTTTTTATTGTGAGTTGTCAGCAGCAGCTTGTAGGTAAAGAAGAATGTGCTGCTGTCAGCTTGAAGTGAATCATGTCGAGGTGTCAAACATGATTTATCGTTAAGACCAGCCGATGGTCAGGTGCTCTACATTACTGCTTCAACTATGTGTACATGCTTATTTGTTATATGCAGAGTTGTTGATATGACAAAAGTCTAGTCAAATTGTGTTTTTTAAATTCCACATAATAAATAACTTTGAAAAATCCTCATCAGTACCTTGGTTAATAACTATCCTGGCTGACAGAGCCAGTTAAGTCTATTTAAAACAGCGAGAGCCTAAAAACATCACATTTCACTCCATGTAGTTTAGAGTGGGGAGGTGGAACTTCCACCCCGCTGCGGAACCCGTGGTGGGACCCCTGAGTCAGACGGTTCGTCTTGGCAACGCTTCATATCGGTCGGCCCGGGAGGTAAGAGACACGCAGGGTTACCCCCACGCAGCACACCCTCCCGGCCATCAGAGTCGAACCCGCAGTTTGGAGGAACCGACCGCCAGAGCACCGGCACGTGGACCGGGGGAGAAGACCCTCTGATGGCGGGTCGCGTTTGCCATTCGATCAGTGAGGTCAGAGGAGCAAAATGGACAAAATCCGTTAATGTACGGGTGAGTTGGGGGGGGGTGAACGGCTGGACAAAGGCCTTGGGGGGGCACCCGGGACCGGGCAGTGCCCCCGGTAGAAGGAATCGGGTGAAACGGGCCAAAACCGGAAAAAAAATTATAAATAAAAAGAACCAGGCAAAAGGGGTGAAAATGTAAAAAAGTGTCCGAAAATAGTGCCTCATAATGCGGGTAGAGTCCCCTGTCGACTCCCCTTGCATTCCTCCAGAGTCAGAAAAAGTCTGAGTTAACTTTTTGGAGAACCATAAAAAAGGGCTAAAAGTGATAAAAATGTATCCGAAAATAGTGCCTCATAGTGCGGATAGTGTCCCCTCAAACTCCCCTTACATTCCTCCAGAGACCAGTTCAAAAACTTAAAGTTTGGTAAGAACCATGCTGGGGGGTCTCTAGGCAACAAATTAATCCGAGCCAGAGTGCACATGGAGCGGACACATTCCTCCATGAAGTGAGACAGCCGTTTTTTTTCTGAGTCCTCTCAAAAACTGGGTTTCCGATTTCGTGCGGACAGTAGTCTGAAATGGATGAATGAATTTTTTTGACGGAGAAGGGGAGGCTTGGTTTCCTCCCCGTTGTAAGTTGCAACGGGGAAGTCGAAAAGTGTCCGTGGCTTCGGCCGGAATCGCCGACAGGTTGAGCTTTTTTGAGGCCCTTCTCTGTTGGCACTTAGTCGTTTTTTCAAACTTCATTTATGATTATTTTAAGATATAATTGACCGTTTTCTTTACTTTTTTCTTCTTTCCACGGGATGGAATGGATGCATGGCAGGCCGCCTATGAGCTCCCAAATTCGGCCTGGAACCTCCAGGATTTGTGGGCTAAGCTCCATAAACTGACAAAGTCACCCAGAAATGTCACTTTTATAGCCCGAAAATATATAATACAAATACATTTAAATAGTAAAAGGTACAATTGTGCTCCGAATTACCCGGAATTTGATTTATATAGCCCCATGATAGTGAATAAAAATAATTTTCATGGAAAAAAGTGTTAAAACGCCTGATTAAAGCATATGCAGGACCCCAGTGAGCTCCAGACTATGTGCATTGTGTTTGGGAACCATGTTAATGATAACATAAATCATTTAAATGCAAAATAATGATTAAAAATCATTTTTAGGGGGACAACTGTGGAGAGGAGCCTGAAAATGACTCTCCAGCACCCCGGAGAAGCAGGTTGTGAGACCCACAGAGTGCACCCAGAGAGCTCCTTGCAGCACATGGCTCTTGCACCCAGAGAACAGGCTGCTTCATCTCACGTTATAACCCAGGAAAGGAGCTTGAATCGTGGGTACATGAGTGTTAGAAGTGCATTAAACTGTTTTAATTCAAATGCACATTTGACTGCACAAACAGCCGGTCATATGGACAGGAAACTGTCCATTTCGTCCACATTTAACTCATGAAATGTACAAGAAGATAAGTACAGCAGAGTCACCGCTCTTAGCAGGGTCTCAGACTCAGGCACATAGGCAGAGATCCAGGGTGATGCACAAGGCTTTTCTACCCAGCAATAAGTCTCTGAAAGGCAGGGGAAAGTGGTGTGAATAGAGGGAGAGAGTACCCAGAGAGAAGCGGGGTGTGAGACTCACAGAGACCCAGAGAGCTCCATGCAGCAGGTGGCTCTTCCACCCAGACACATTAAAAAGCAACACAATCTACCTGCATTGCAATTACTCTAAACGTGTAATAACGTGCTTTAACCAGTAGGAGGTGCAGGGTTAAAAAGCTGTCAAGTTTACAGTGTTACCAAAATAAAATATACTGCTGTTTCCGGTTTAGTTTACGACGGATATATTTAGTTATTGTTTTGATATTTGTAACACAAAAGCGATGGAAAAAACCCACAGCAACACAGAAAAGATGGTCTTAACATGACCCAGAGGTCTAGTCGTTAATAAAGAATAGTTTCCGGTCTATTCTGAGGCCCGATCTCTGTAGATAAATAAAGAACTACGCCAGATGTGTAATATTGAATGCAGCCGAACCATTTATTACAATGCATTCATGTGATGACTTTCAAACAGTAAAGCAAGCACTGCTGAATAAAGTATGATTTTATCTTTTACGAAACGTTTTTCATATGGAATGCAGTTGGAGGTCAACCAATCAGGCCATGTTCTTGCAGATGAATTTCATCTGTTGCCATCAGGGCGTAGATATGCTCTGCCTCTACCTGCTCTACTAGACTAATCGCTTTTCAAAATCATTCATCCCCTCTGCACTCAAACTTATAAATTCTTGGTAGGTTTTTTAACTTGACTATTTATTTATTGTGATGCTATGAAACTACTTATCGTGTAAATTGGAATGATCCACATCTCTGCCCCCGGGTGTATCTATCTGTGTGTTTTTCTTCCTGTATGTTCCTCCCTGTACATGACATAAGCTGCTCACAACCAATTGCCCCTCGCGGGATTAATAAAGTTGTTGATTGATTGATTAGTTATTCAATGTTTTCTGATATAATTCAGGTCACTGACTCAGAGGAGGCGGCAGCTGTAAACGGAGTGGATGTTGGCGTACTGATCGTCACAGAAGAACGGGAGCCGGCAGCCCTACCAAGGAATATTGCGGATGTTGCTGTGATCCTGGAGGGGCGCATTGTTTTGCGCAAGCTGCGAGATGTACCAACCGGCTTTGCTGTGCTGATGGGCATACTTTACAGCCTCAACATTGATTAACCTAAGGGACTGAAAAATACCTTTGAGGTCATTCAGAAGGTAATCATGGACATTGGGGGAGGCACCTGCTCTGCTCGGGCTCATGGACTGCGAAACAAATTGCTTCAGGGCACAATATAGAGATGTGGTTCCCTTCCCTGTCTGGGTTCCACCTTAAGGTTATTTAATGTGGTTATTTGATGTGCTTCACAACTCCAAGGCAGCCAGCAAGACTTATTCTGTTCCAGCTAAACTGCATTACAAATGTTTAACAATTTCCTTTTAAACAGGGTGCTGGATTTTCCCTCTGTTGTTAATTTTGGAATGATATGTTAGCTTGTTATTTTATGAAACGATAATATATTTGTCAAGTATAGAGTGCCAGAGTGACGCGTCCTAAAACCCGGAAGTAAGCTGCACATGGGTTCCTTCCAAGCCCCCAGGAAGTGCGCCGGAGTCTGATGAGAATATTCGTGCTGGTCAAACGGCGGTACTACACTTCCTTTAGGTTGCTGGGCCCGGAAACACTTTTTCCCATTGACTTACATGGGGAAAGAGTGGTCTGTAACTCGTTGGATAATTTTTTTTAAATTAAATAAACTACCCAGTATGAACGTTTGTATAGCCCTTATTAAAAACATTCGTTCCTCAAGTTGTAAAAATGTGCTAATAACGTTATTCTGAGAGTTATTTCCCTCTGCATTATGAACGCGCATCTAACCCACGGGACCGCGCTGCCCGGCACGTTCATGTTACGTGTTCAGTACTACATGAGTTTCTCTTTACCCATGGAATAACAACGGACCATATCGCCTTACTGCCAGCCCACGGAGCTGTAATAATGGATATATTGCACATGTTTGCTGTAATT